CGCGGCGCCTGCAGCCTTCATTCAAATGGCGGGGCGTTGATGAAGGCACGCACACCCCTTCTCAGCGCTCACCCGCTCACGTCAGCATAAATGTAAGACAGCAGAACAAGCCCAGTGAAGAACCTCGCTCTCAGCAGGAGCGGCACGCATCTCACCGCAGTGGTGGCAAACGCATGCTCCCGCGGCGCCAACAGTTTTCACACGCCTCTCCTCAACACATGCCGGTCCACATAGACATGAATGTGAACTCACATCCTGAGCGTGGCACAGAGGCGCGCTCAGAGCCCTTTCGAGGAAGACTCGCCTTGGGTCACACGGAACACACTTCCACGGCGCATGACGGCGGTCGAGGTGGTAGACTGGCTGACGTCCGTAAAAAACATGACGCACCACCTAAAACGCGCGCCCACTCCACAACCTTTATGCGGAGTGGCTGCGAACATGCTCGCCAGACAGATGGATGGCCAAGCTGATAAGCAGGGGTTACACGCTACAATTTGCAGCCTGACCCCCTCCGTTTAGAGGAGTTTTAGAGATGGTCCTGTCATCACCAGACCAAGTTTCATACCTAAATGCAGAAGTCCAGGAACTTCTGGTAAAAGAGGTAATCTCCAGGGTTCCCAACGGAGAGGAAAACAGGTTTTTACTCACATTACTTCCTGGTTCCAAAACGGACCGGAGGAATGAGACCAATTTTGGACCTGTCAGTTTTCAACAAGGCGATCGTGGACAGACCGTTTCACATATTGACAACCAGACAACTGTTGGACAACATCCAGAGAAACGACTGGTTTATTTCCATCGATCTGAAAGACGCCTACTTCCACATACAAATCATCCCAAAACACAGAAAATGTCTGCGCTTCTCTTTCCAAGGGATGCAGTACCAGTAAAACAGGCTGCTGTTCGGTTATTCCCTCGTGCCTTGTACGTTCTCAAAGTGTGTGGAGACGGCCCTGCAACTGTTACACAGAGCAGGGATGAGAGTTTTGTTTTACCTAGATGATCTGTTGCTGCTGTCACACTCATGATGAGAAGCAGCGGCACAGGCTCAGGTGTTGACATCACACCTGCTAAATCTGGACTTCGCCATAAATTGGAAAAAAAGCTTAATTCTCCCAGCCCAGATGATTGTTTATCTGGGAGTGGAGCTAAACTCGACCACCATGAAGGCTCGTTTATCACAGACAAGAATCGACACTCTAAGAGTCCAGCTCCGCCACGTAAGACCAGGCAGATTAGTAACAATTATTTCCATCATGAAGCTGTTAGGAACGATGTCGTCAGCTCACACAGTGGTCCCGCTGGGTTTACTCCACATGCGACGCCTCCAGAGATGGTTTGCTTGTCTGCACTTAGATCCGGTAAAGCAAAAGAGAAGGATGATCACTGTTCTTCCCTCAGTGAGAACAGACCTCTGACACTGGGAAAACTCCCTGGTTCTGTCGGAGGGAGTCCCCATCAGCAGACCTACGTCACATGTGTCAGTCTTCACAGACACCAGTCTTCACAGACGCGTCTTTGTCAGGTTGGGGGGGACATGCCTATCTCGAGCTGTAGGGGCGCTGTAGCCTTCTCACACAACAGCTCATATAAACGTTCTGGAATGTCGCACGGTTCTGAATGTGATTCAACACTTTGCTCCTGTGCTACAGAATCAACACATTTTGATTCACACAGACAACAAGGTTACTGCTGTTTACATAAATCGGAAGGGGGGTGTGCGCTCAGCCCAGATGTTATGCATTGCGAGAAAACTACTATGTTGGGCACACCAAAATCTGCTCTCCATCAGAGCAGTGTACATCCCCGGTGTTCTAAACAAAGGGGCAGATGCGATGTACAGGGGTGGTCTGCGTCACGGGGACTGGACCCTCCACCCTGATCTGATGGCCCAGACGTGGCAGAAATTTGGCAAAGCGGCTGTGGACCTGTTTGCGACACGAGAAAATGCTCAGTGTCAACTATGGTTTTCACTGAGCCCGCAAGACGAACAACCGTTGGGGTTGGATGTGTTTGCTCACAGAGCATGGCCCAAAACACTTCTTTACGTGTTCCTCCCACCTCCTCTGATATTACTGTTTCTGAACTGAGTTCAGGAGGAGGGATTGACAGCTCTCCTGGTGGCTCCCAAGCACGTGAACGCACCATGGTTCCCGGTTCTACGACGCCTGTTATCGGGGCGCCCGTGGAAACTGCCGTGGAGGGAGGACGCTCTCCACCAGGTGGAAGGAGCGATCAGGAGTTACCCAGAAATAGGCAAGCACCTGTGGGTCTGGCCGCTGAGCGGATCCGCTTAGAGAGGATGGGTCTCCCGCAAGATGTAGTGCGCACAATTCAGGATTCACGTGCTGCATCCACCACAGCGCTGTGCTGTAGTGTTAGGTAATTACCGGTAAATAGTTTAATGTTTTGAATTATTTTAAACATTCTTCAATTAAAACACACTTGAGCAGCATACTGTTTTTTTTTTTATTTGTGGATTGATTCAGTTGAATTACAAGGAAAACAAGTGCAATTTACAATATCTAGTAAAAACAAAAAACATTTAACTATTTAAGTTAACATTTTATAACTACACACTATAAATTGATAGTGGATTATAGATATTTTATCAAATTATGCAATTTCAAATTAAATAAATTGGCACATTTATGTATTTTTCATGAATAACTATTTACAGTATTTACATCTAAAAAGTTAAGTCTGGTCCTCTGGACATTCAAAAAACAAAACAAACAAAAAAAAAAGGTAGAAACGTTTCGTCTTTCATCCGAAAGACTTCTTCAGTCTGAGGTGCTGCTCACATGGTTGTCAGTAGTAAACTGGTTGATCCACTCTGAGAAGGTGCTATTTATAAGACTGAGCTGAATACAGCACCTCAGACTGAGGAAGTCTTTCGTATGAAAGACGAAACCTTTCTACTTTTTTTGTGTGTGTTTGTTTTGTTATTTTGCTTTTTGAATGTCCAGAGGACCAGACTTAACTTTTTTTTAGATTTTCCTACCTGGATCATTGAGCATGCATCAAGATACAATATTTACATTGATTCACACAGCTTGAGACTGATTAAAAATATGAAGGAACAAAAGTGTGATTTATACATTTTATGTTTCTTGTTGCATTGATATAAACACATGGATGAAGGTGTTGAAGTAAAACGTCCAATTTAGACTTAATCTGATCAATCAATCAATCATCAATCCATTCATCACACCATACCCATTCAACACTTCTTTAGTGTACCCGCTGATCATCTGAGCTGCCAGTGCTATGTCAGCACACTCCTCCTCTGCACTTCCTCTGTAAGAAACACGGAAAGCGGAAATGGCTAGCAGTAAGCCTTGGTTGTCGAAGCTGTACCCACGCAGGACATCTGGAATGCTCCCTGGTTCTGGCCTGTACTTCATGTGACACTTGCAGAGACTGAAGATGCATAAGTTGATCGAGTGTGGGCACAAAACACATGTTGGGATGCAGCATCGAAGGAAGAGCAGGGAGGTCTGGAGCCATGTGGTGCAGAATGATGCTACGCAGGACTTCTCAGGTGGACACTGGTGAGACCTCAGTGAGCCCTGTGGCACAGGCCAAAATCTGGATGGTACCAGCTCCCAAGCTGAGAGACCATCTCTAGGATAAGTGTGATAAGTGGTTGGGACTCCAGCTGGTGTAGTTTTTCTCCCGATGCCAGAATGTCAGGATCTGGAGGTGGTCCTACAAACACACGAGTGACAGAATCACAACAAGTTTTGACAAAGGAAACATGGACATAAAAACATTAACCCAAAGTTTATACCTGTGAAAGCTCTGTAAAGCGTGGAGTGCAAACATCTTTTCCCCACAGTTTTGGGCTTTCGCACCACCACCTCGCTGGCAGGTTCAGGATGGATTCCCTTACAAGAAATAAACATAAAAATATGTCAAACTAATAAATAAATAAATGTAAAGGGATAAGTGAGCAATTTGGTAGGACACAGTGGGACAGTATTTTCTTCAGATCTTCTAGAATTGCGCCGCTCAAGGTGGCTGCATGTTTGAGCAGCTCTGTTACTTTCATTCTGAGATTTTGCTTTTGGAAACTTTAATTCCTCTTTTTCTGGATGTAAATCACATTTTTTTTGGATGAATGTTTCCTCTGGTATCAGATACTGTGCAGCCAGAAGGATTTTTACTGAGACCTTTTTTGTTTTGGACATTTGTTATGATGCGTAACCATGGCAACAAGGCAGATTTCTGCAACAGCAGCTGATTAACATCTCAAAAGCTCAAATAATATCTCAACTATGGCCCCAACTCTCAAATGAGTTGAACAGGATGTTATGTGGACGCATTCTCATCTACCTGCCAGCTGTGCTCAAGTGCCCGACCACTGAGATCCTGGAACTAGCAGGAAACATGGCTCACGACAGCGGAAGGACAGGATCGTCCCTCAGCACCTACAGTTGGCTGTCCGCAGCTATGAGGAGCTCGGCAGACTGCTGGGAGGAGTGGCCACCGCTCTGGGAGGAGTTCTGCTGGCATTCAGGCGGTCCTAAAGCCCGGGGGAACCGAGAGGCCAGCTGAGTCTGGGTGGACGGATCGGACAGCATCTGCAGTCAGTTTCTTAGGATCCACTGTGGGATGGACCTTTACAAGAGATCCTTCCTGCCTACAGCCATCAGTATCTATAACATATCTTGATGAAATGAGGATAACGAGTTACAACAACAAATAATTTCCCTTTGGGATTAATAAAGTATTTTTGAATTGAATTGAATTGAATTTGAGAGTTAAGATTTTTACTTAACTTGCAAATATTACTAATTCATAGAGGTTGAACCTGCATTTATTCATTACCTACAAAAACAAACAATTCCAAACAAGTTAGGAGAGAAAAATATATTTGACACAAGTAATATTGAGACTATGACAAATTTCACATGGCACTAATAATATACAGGTGGAAAAGTTATTACAGTTATTGTTATGAGAATCATAACCATCATATACTAAATAATATAACAGAAAAGAATGTGTTTCACTCTTATTTTATTTTTTTACCTGTTCTTTTTCTGTGCCTTCTTTGTAAATCTCTTGTGCAGGCCAGTACAGGAGGACCAGTTGGCAGCTGGAGTTGGAAGTAGCATGCAGTCTGGTAAAAAAAAAAAAAAAAACTGCAACTACATGGTTACAAAAAACCTTTACCAGCTGCACTTCTACAGAAATAAGCCAACATTTCTTTTTCAACACCCAGTGAGATCTAAAATAGATCTGTTTTTAGCACACACACACA